ATAGAAGATAACGACCCTGCTAAGGCTGTGGATACTCCCACTGGTTAGGAGGAATACTCTGATCCTTTCCCGTTTGGGGTCTGGGTGATGTATAGATGGTGTGTGAGCACCGTGTGGTTCATAGGGAATGCAGAGATTTATAATCTCTCTGTGGTAGGAAAATTCAAGTGAGGTATAAAATCAGACGATTTCTACTGTGCTTTCGAGGTCTGAATTTTTAAAGATGGATGCTTTGGGTAATGCCCCCCAAAATCTTCTCTTTTATCTTTTCATCTGGGTTCAAAACCAAGAAAGCAACAACAAAAGCAATTTTTGAAGGGTTGTTAGGGGAAGACCAGGTAAATAGTTGTTTCATGCTAATGCTGTTGTTCCTGTGTTTTGTTTTAGCTCTGAAGAAGCCTCTTATGTCAGCTCCTAAGAGTGAAGGGCATGAGCCTGTGCTGAGCCTCCCCACTCAGCAGCCCCATGCTGCAAACCTGGCCCCAGGTACAGCTCCTCTCAGCAGTCACAAGGCAACACTTGGGTTACACGGAGGAAATCAGGGATAAATTCCTGCAGGATCCAGGGCTGTGTTCTCACCTGGCTGGCTGAGGCACTGGGGCTGCCCTTGTGTGGTCCTGTTTGGTATCCTCCACACCAAATCGTTTCTGAGCCTTTTCACCAGTTGCAGCCAGATTTGAGTTTGAGGTTTCAAGGATAAATGCTTCAGGATTCCTCCAGTGCCCAGAATAACTGAAATTTTTCCTCCTTGAGGTGTAATTCCTCCAGTGTCCAGAGTAATTGAAATTATTGTTCCTTAGGGTGCTAATCAGGGCTGCACCATACCCTCAGGGCTTGGTTCTTGATCTGTTGGTATCCACAGGCAGAGGTAATCTAGCATTCCTGTTGCTTGCTTTGTGTGGGTGTCATGGGGGACGTTTAGGACATGAGAATGGTAAGTCCTGCAGTGAAAGGGTTTGGAGGATTTGCAGTTGGAAAGGACACAAATCCATAGAAAATACAATTCATGCTCATGGGTCAAGTCACTTCAGTAGGCTGTACCTGCACTGCAAGTGGCTTGTTCTAGTACTTCCTGCTAAAATGATTCCTAGAACTTTAGTATTAATTAAATATAAAGGTCTGAAGATACATTTGTGCCATGACCAAACAGCCCCAAGGTTTTGTTCTGCCCTTTGTTGGTTCTCTTGGAAAAAGACAACAAAAGTTTTTCTTTCCCTGTGCAGTGGATGTGTGAGCAGAATTCCCAAGTGAGGGAGCTCAGAGCCTGCACACACATTTAAGGATTGTTAGTAAGTGTTGCTTAGTTGCCTCGAAAAGCAGAATCAGCAGGAGGATGAAAATCCATGAACATGTTGTTGTTCTGGGCTTCAGGCACTGCAGCACGTGCAGGAGTCAGCTGGGAGGGAATGACAGGGGATGGATTATGGATTGGAATGTGATGGATTTCCCTCTGCCTCCCCTTGGAGTCATGTCAGGCCTGCAGACACCTGTTCCTTGCAGGTGTGCCCAGTGACAACGGTGCCAACGCTGACGGTGTCCAGCAGATCCCTCCCAATTCCCTCCAGCACCTACACTTGGAAGACAACATGGAAGCCCAGAAAGAGCCCAAAATCGAGACAGAGCAGATCAAAATCCCAAAGAGCAAAGTTAGTGACCTGCAGAAGATGAAGCAAAGTAAGTTGGCCTTGATCACAAACCTCAGTACGTGGAGAAAATCCCTTCATTCCCTGTGTGTGGTAGTGCCTGTGTGGAACATAGGGACCAGTGCAGAGGGCCCTCTGGAGAGGGAACCTGGGAAGGAATATAGCATGTCCCTGGGGAAAATAGGTGCTTTATTGTGTTATTTTTTCATATATACATTCAGTGTTTTAAAAAAATTCCTTCCTCGTGGGAATTTAAAGTGCTTCTGGAAATTACTGCTCATCTAAATGGGATAAGTCAGGGCTGGGATACATGCAGGATACTGAGTTACTTCCTGTAGTACCTGACTTAAATACTGTGGTTTGGAGAATATTGAAGAATCCAGCCCTTACACTGGGGTCGTTGTGGTGGGGACTGAAGGTGCTTGTTATATGAGGAAGTTGTCCAGAACCATTCTCTTCCCTGTCTGCTCCAGTCAGGAACCTCCAGCAGTTGCACACAGGTGTGTGGAGTGTGGGATGTTGGTTTAAAAAAACCTGTTCCAATTGTTTGGGTGAGGAAGGGTGTTTGGAAAAAAACCTTAGTGCTGAAACATGTCCTCTTGGGTTTTCTTTATCCAAATAAGATTTTTTTTTTTAAGAAGCAGATCTTTAGGGAAGACTTTGGCTGTTGGAATATCACTAGTGGATCTTTGTGATGCAGCAGGGAAAGGTGTATTACAAACTGGCAACCTGGGCCTGGAGGTTCAGGACAAGGAGAACGGCTTCCCACTGCCAGAGGGCAGGGACAGATGGGTATTGGGAAGGAATTGTTCCCTGTGAGGTGCTGAGGCTCTGGCACAGGGTGCCCAGAGCAGCTGTGGCTGCTCCATCCCTGGGAGTGTTCCAGGCCAGGCTGGATGGGGCTTGGAACAGCCTGGGCTGGTGGAAGGTGTCCCTGCCTGTGGCAGGAGGTGGGAGGAGATGAGCTTTAAGGTCCTTCCAACTCAAATCATTGTGATTGTGAGATTCTGCCTAAATCTTATGCATACCTGAGCATACACACAGGTACAGGAGTTGCTGTGGAGCACCTCACCCATGAGTGCTGGGGAGGATTATGTCCTGGGGAAGTTTGTGTGCTCAGCCTTTCCCTGCTTGGTTTGAAGCAGCCTGAGTTCAAATCCTGAGCCCTTGGAGCAGAATGAGACCGAGCAGGGTCTGAGCAGCTGCCCCTGAGCTGTGCTGGGATTGGAGCTCTCCGTGTGCCCGTGGAGCTCAGCTCACAGCCTGTGCACAGGTTCTGTGTTTCCTGGGATTTTTGCATCCTGTTTAACCTTTCCTTCTGTCAACTTCAGCACATGCAGGGCCTGTTGGTCACAGTATTCCTGTCATAGCCACAGGCTGGGTTTGCTGGAAGTTGGGTACCTTCTGTTGTCTTTCATGGCTCAGTGTAGGTTTAACATGTGCAAATCCTGCTGTGCTGTCTGGGTTGTGTAGCAATGCAGTGTCAAAAGCACCAACAGTAATAGCCAGGATCACTCAGTCAGACAGGAACAGGTAATGAATAATGCATGGAACTTGGGATTTCTAAACCCATCATGGTTTCTCCTTGCTTGTTTTATGACAGTACCCAAAACTGCTGTTTCTGTCCACTCGATCTGCACTGGGTGTGATCCTGCTGCTTTTTTCCCCATCCAGAGAAGCACCATGGTGCTGTCTCTGTCCTGATTTTTATGTATTGCCACACAGGAGGGTTATCACTGGTTTAGGAAATAATTTCATGTTTACACCTGTCCATTTTTGATGCTGATGTTGAGTTCATCCTCCTGTTTTACCTCTGTTAATTGCTTCTACTGGGAATCACTCACCACCTGCCCCAGCAGCCTTGGTGCCCAGTCTGTAAGGCTGGATTACACTTTAATCCCAGTTTCTCATTTTCACATGATCCAGGCCTGTGGCCTCTGCACACTCAGTGCTGATTCCCTCCATCACTGGGCAAGTGGCTGCACTGTGCTGGGCTGGAGCAGAGCTCCCTTGTCCCATTAACCACCAGCTCTGAGCCAGACATCACACCAGTGATCTCTCACTGCTCATTCCAGACTTCCAGCTGATTCCTCTTTTTCTTGCGTATTGTTTGCGGATCTGGAGCTATTCTTAACTCTTTGTTGGGAAACAAAACCACTGGATTGAGGATGTTTGAAGAACTGTTAGAGCTTCCAAGAAAGCAGAGTGTGAAGCCAAGTGAACTGGTTTGTAGTGGGCTGAGAGCTGCAGAGCAATCCCTGCTGGGTTCCCACCCATGCCAGCAGGGCACAGCCTCATTCCAGGCCTCAGGAAAAATGGTTGCTAACTCTCCACTGAGGGCTCTTCAGCCATTAGAGTGAACGTGTACCAGTGTCTGCAGGCAGTCCAAGGTGGAGCTGTTTAGGTGTTGCTACAGCTCTTCTCCATGGAGAGAGGAGCTTGGGGCAGTCACATGACAGGAGGTCCAGGTGATGGAGCACGTCCTTTCTGCACTGAGGTGCTCCCTGAGCCTTGTTCTCCCCTGCCCCAGCACTGTCCATTCTCCCCCTTTCTCTCCAGCTGGAACTGCCACAGCCCTTGTGCCTTCTCCTGCCACCTGCTCTGTGTAGAGTGTCCCTGTCTCTCTGCTCCTGCTGCTGACTCACTCCTTTGCCTACTCCACAGGCCGGTTCTTTGATGAGAATGAATCCCCTGGGGACCCTCAGCAGGGTTCCAAACTGGCAGATTATAATGGGGATGATGGGAACGTGGGTGAGTATGAGGCAGACAAACAGGCTGAGCTGGCTTACAATGAGGAAGAGGATGGTGATGGTGGAGAAGAAGACGTCCAAGGTGAGCTTGGGTCTTGCCTCCATCCCACTGTGATAGATTCATACTGAGTCACTTGTTGAATTTGTGTAAAGCCTCACTGATTTAGCTGATCACAAATTGCTCTGACAGAACGAACAGGGCTGAGCTGGGTCTCACTCTCCGTGGGACAGCAGTGATGCAACAGTGTCCGTGAGAGGGTTTGGCACCTGACTGCAGCTGTGCACAGCTCCTGCTAGGAAAAGCAAGGCACCAAATTCCAGGCATGGTTTTACCTCAGAGCCCAGCTCTGGCCCCTGACAGGATGGGCTGTGGGCCTGGACACTCCTGAATTGTCAGAGAAATGCAGTGTTCTCTGTGCTGCTTTTGTCACACCTGCCTTGAGCTAGTGTGCACTGAGGCCTCAGGTAGTGACTGCAGGTGTCACTTTGGTGCATTATACACAGATTCAACAGGCTTGTGATGCTCCTGCTAACCCTCCTCAGAGCTCATCACCCACTGCTGACTAACCCTGTGTGTGCAGCCACCACCTCCACCTGCCCTGCATGTGGCTCTGCATGGCTCTCCCTGTCCTGTGTGCCATTCTCATCCAGCTGTTTGGGGCCATTTGTGCCAGGCTTGTATGTCTGTAGGGTGAGAATGTTTGTGTAAACGTAGTTTACAAACATTCCATTTCCAATTGAATGAAAGTGTCAAATAAAGAGGGGGAAGAAGTAGGACATACGATGAAGATCCTACAGGATCCTGATTTTTTCCCCTTATAATGCAAGTGTTTAGCTGGTAGTTTTTCATACATGTATTTAGTTGGGATCTGAGCATACTTAATGGGACAGCCAGTGAAAAGCAGCTGCTGGTGTGGGCAGGCAGCTAAGTGCAGTGTGAGCAGGTTGGGCTGGCCTGGGAGTTTGGAACTCAGGAACAAGTGGAGGGAAAGGATGGATCGGAGCCCTGGGTGATCATTAACTTCCCGAGGAAACGCAATCTTTGCTCCTCCTGCTCTGGCCTGTTCTGTGACACTTGTGCTCAGGAGTCCCAGTAGGTTTGTGTGCTCGTACCTGTCCCTCTGCATTGCTGATTGCTGGGCTGGAATTTGCTCATCCAAGCTGCAGGAAGGTACAGGAAGATCCAGGCTGGACACGGCTTGGAGCAACTTGGTCTAGTGGAAGGTGTCCTTGTCTGTGGCAGGGGGTGGAATGACATGAGCTTTAAGGTTCTTCCAACCCAAACCAGTCTGGGAGTCTGAAAGTGTGTGGATGCAGGGGCTGTGGGAGCTCTTAAGAGTTGTGGTCTGCTGTGAGCAGGATTTCATGCCAGGTGTGCTGTGACCAGTTCCCAGGGTCATGTACAGCATTCCTATATGGGAAAGGGTGGTGTGACACAGCCACAAGTAGTGGAAAGATATTAAAAAGCAGATTGTGCTTGTGCTTGCAGTGCAAGTGGAGTTGGAAAAATAAGTGCTCTGCCTGAGAGTGAGCCACAAACCCATCTTCCTTTTAGATGGGTTCCTGCCAGCTCCCTGCTCTGCTGGCTGGGAATTTGGACTTCGGGAGTAGCCTTTTCCTAACGAACCCCTGTGTCTCTGTAGGCAGAGTGGGTTTCAAAGCTGGTAGTGGAGGCTGAAGGGTGACTTCTGGAAGCCTTTAATGGTGGTTGTTCTGTTGTTCCCTAATAACTTGTTGAGTTGATTTAAGCTGTGAGTTGCATAGTGTGTCCAGTGGTGCTTCCAGGGGCAGCATTCTAGAAAAAGTGGCTGCTTCAGGCTCTAAGGCTGATCTGTCTGCAGGGCAGGAGAGGGGAGAATTGAGGGAAGTGGTTATGATTGTTTAGGGGAGGGGAAAATAAAAGAGAATTTCTGTCTGAGAGCTATCAGGAAAACATCAGCTGGGACTGAACAAAGCCTGGGGCATGTGCCACAAAGCCACTGCATTCCACGTGGTTTTTGTTCCCACTAGGAATGTGTGGGCTTAGATTGAAATTATCCAGGGGAAACACTGAAATCTGGGAGATGTGCTGGAGGTGAGCAGCACCAGCCTGGGGGTCCTTCCCTCAGTCTCCTGCTGCAGGGCAAGGTGAGGTGTGAGAGTGGTGCTTCAAACATGTTTGTGGTGGCTGGATGGTGCAGAGGGGTGCAGCCCCAGCATGTCCAGGGGCTCTGGGGCAGTTCCTTAGGGAACAGAGCCTGTGTCTGGCAGGTAAGGTGCCAGGAGGACCTGTCTGGGGCTGGAAGGTGTGGAGCACCTCCTCAGCTGCTGGGAGGTAGGCATACTCAGCTTCCCTTTCCTGTGAACAAGGGTCTATCCTGAGCTAAAGAAACAGCTCTGAGGTGCAGGAGAGGCTTATGAGTTGGAACAAACAGAGGTTTTGAGGTTTCTCACTTTCTGAGGGAAGGAGGTCAGGGCAGAATGAGGAGTGTTTTGGAGTATCACATGAAATGATGCTGAATGTGCATTTTCTCTGTGGTTTTTCTGCATGTGCTGCAGTAAATGGTTACACTCAGTGTGAACGTTTGGGGGTTGTTTTACGTTTTCTCAGGAGCCTCAAAAGACAAACCCCAAGGAGCAAAGTCAGGCAGGAGGTCAGAGGAGAATGTGGAGACAGGGGCTGAAAGGAAGGTGAAACACCTGCACCTGCCAGGCAGGATGGGGCTGTGACTCTCTTGTAAAGGGGAACCAGTGGCAGCTGAGAGCTCCTGCCTGCGATCCTTGGCCCAGGCTGCCGAGAGAACAGGGATTCCCATGGATAAGGGATTGGGAAAGGTCTTTAAAAGCCTCTCCAAACTTCACCCACGAGTCTGAGATATGAGACAGCAGTATGGAAAAACACTGAGAGTAACACTGACCCATCAGGTAAAATTATGCTGTGCCACTTCTGTGTGGAAGGTGTCATCTGGGAAGTAGGTGGGAAAAGCCCTTCCTTGGTATGGAAGGGCTCTCAGTGACTTCCCTGTGCAGTCCCTGGGGTTTCATCCCCTGGGAAGCCTCACAGTGTCAGTTCAGGGATGGGTTAAACCTGGGAATGGGATTTTGTGCAGGAGTTGGGGTTTAGTGGGAGAGGACGAGTCTCAGAGCCCAGCAGTGAGTGTAACAGTGCTGCAGTCCCTGCAGGCAGACCCTCTGTGAGACAGGGCTGCACTGCAGCCACAGACCCCACCTGGAATGCTGGCAGCTGGGCTGGAACCGCAGCCCCTGTGCCTCCTGTGTGCCTCAGTGACTCCAGCTGGGTGCTGTGCCCAGCAGCAGCATGGCCTGGGGTATTTTTCGGGGTATCAGCTGAGCTTTGCCGGGTGTTTAACTGTGGCTCACTGTGCTGTGATTGCAGATGACGAGGAACGAGACCTGCAGAACGACCTGGGGGACTACAGCAAGTCCCGTTTCAGCCACGGAGTGCTCTAGGCCTGGTACCCAGGGCATGGGCAGGACAGCTCAGCCCACGAACTGGAGGTGCTGCACAACTGGACTATGTTTGCTCCAGGGTTTCCTACTTCCAAGGAAGCTGTGAGTGAAGTGCTGCATGTGCTCAGTCAGCAGGAGGAGAGGACCCTGCTCTGTACATATGTACATACCTGGACATTGCTGTCACGTGGAGCTCATGTGCTCACTCGGCCTGGCCCTTGTCTGAAATGATCTTTACACTTAAACCCAGTCTGTAAATCCAGCCTGGACTGTTCCTGCCACTTAGTACACTCTGGAACCTGCAGAACCTGTACAGTTTGTACTGATGTAATGAAGTCTTTGTGGAAGCTGTGGACAGCCAAGGACTCTTTTGTACAGTCACATCTCTGTGGCATAGCTGCTGTGGTTTGTGCCTGTAGGTGAGCCCTGGGCTGGGAGTGAATATGGACTGTGGAAGTTTACTGCTCCTGGAGCCCAGGCTGGGGCAGCCCTGCAGCAAGGACCAGGACTTCAATAATTTGATACATCCCAAAAATGTGTGCAACTAATAGCTTGATCTAAAAGGTGATAGAAATAACTCACAGCTTGTAGGAAGTCTCTGTGTTCCAGAGGGACATGTCTGCAGCAGTTGTGTGGGCCCTCCGTGGAAGGACCAACCCTACCCCGGGTGAATGTGCCCTCGTGCTGTCCAGGTGCCCATCCCAGTTCATTTCCAGTCTAATCCCTGATACAGCTCAGAGCACCCACCACATCCCATGGTTTGGTGTTCTTCATCAGGTCTGTAAGTCAAAGCCTTCTCTGTGTTCTGTGCTTAAGCACTTCTGGATTTATGGAGATGATTCCATGGCTCTGCAGTGATGGGAATGAAGGGGATTGTCCCCCCTGCTCCTCCAAGGGCTCCTGTGCACACAGGCTGTGGGCCCTGAAGGATGAGTCAGCCCATCCCTGTGCACAGGTGCTGGGCTGAAGTAAGGGGTCAGGTTTGCTTGTTGCTCAGTGACCCTCTTAAAATAATTCAGCACTCAGACAGTAATTTTATGGAGTTTTAAGACAAAGTGTCAGTGTAAAAAAAAATCTGCACATCTGCTGCATGTAAAAAGTGAAACTCAACTGCGCACTGTGTTTAGTCCAAGAACAGCCAACCCAGTGTGCTCTAAGGTAGGGAAGCAGCACAGCACATCTTGGGAGGACCTGCAGATTATAGAGCTTTTTGCCTAAATTCAGAGATTAAACCATTCTGTATCCACAGCTTGAGCTGCTTTCCCTCCCCATCAGCATGACCATCCACCTTGCACCTCTGTGCTGAAGGGACTTTACTCCATGTTCCTCCTGCTCTGCCTTTTCTTCTTCATCACATTCCGTATTTTATTTTCCTTTCCATCAGTGATTACTTGGCCCAGGTGAGGTCATATGTGAAGTGTTGTGTTCAGTTCTGGTAAGGAGAGAGAAGGACCTGCTGCAGAGGGTCCAGGAAGCCACAGGGATGATGAGGAGCATCTCTGTGATGAGGACAGACTGCAGAGATGGGCCTGGTCAGTCTGGAGAAGAGACTGAGAGGGGACCACATCAAGCCATACTAATATCTCCAGGGGGTGTCAGAGGATGGGGCCAGAACTCCTTTCTATAGAGGTGGCAGAGTACTGAAATAGGTGCCCAGGGAGGACATGGAGTCTCCCTCTGTGGAGACATTCCAAACCCACCTGGACACATTCCTGTGTCACCTGCTCCAGGTGACCCTGCCTGGGCAGGGGGTTGGACTGGATCTCCAGAGATCCCTGGAATTGTTTGGTTTGTGAGGGGCCTCACAGATGATCCAGTTCCACCCAGGGATGCCTTCCACCAGCCCAGGGTGCTCCAAGCCCCATCCAACCTGGCCTGGAACAATCCCAGGGATGGAACAGCCACTGCTGCTCTGGACAACCTGTGCGAGTGCCTCAGCACCTCACAGGGAAGGATTCCAAGCTGTTTTTATGGATATGTCAGTATAACTCCATTGTATCATCCCCACTGGGGAATGTCTGCCCCAGACTGTCTCTGTGACTCCAGCTGCTGCCCTGGGCCAGTGACACTGCACAGGATCCCTGGGCTCAGGATGCCTCTGGATTTTGGGAAAATACTTGGCTGAAGCATAGCCCGTGGATCTTGGTGGGAATCCTTTTAAGGACTCTGATGTAGGTCACCCAGCACTTTGCCTCTCATTATTTAGTGATCCAATCTTGAAAGAATGTTACTTCTAAAGGGAATTATTCTGTCAAATTCCACTTCAGTAAAAAAAAAAAGCTGGAGTTCTTTTGGGAACCTGCCCGTGTGTTCTGAGCAGTGTTCCTTGGTTTGTTTGTTTGTTTGGGGGTGCCTTGGTTCCTGAGCCATCTCCCCTCACACCTCTGTGCTCCTGCTGCTTCCTGCACCCACCAGTCCCTCCTGTCCCACCTTCTTGTTCCTGTTTCTCCTTCAAGCCTGCACTTTTCCTCATGCTCTACTCCTCCTCCTCCTCACACAATGCCAGCAGTATCTAGGTTCTTTACTCACAGCCCTGCCTTGGAGCAAATCAGACCCAGTGATGGCTGGAGCCTCTGCCCTGGAGCCAGGCTGGGAGAACTGGAGGTGTTCACCTGGAGAAGAGAAGCTCCAGGGAGACCTCAGAGCCCCTTCCAGTGCCTAAAGGGGCTCCAAGAGAGCTGCAGAGGGATTTGGGAGAAGGGACATCCACAGATGGGATATTGGGCAGGAATTGCTCCCTGTGAGGTGCTGAGGCACTGGAATGGATTGCCCAGACAGAGCAGCTGTGGCTGCTCCATCCCTGGGAGTGTTCAGGCCAGGCCGGATGTGCCACCTGGTCTAGTGGAAGATGTCCCTGTCCATGGCAGGAGGTGGGACTAGATGAGCTTTAAGGTACTTTCCCACCCAAACCATCCTGAGATTCTGTGAACTTCGTTGGAGATTTGTTCTTTGTGCAATATCCTGGGAAGCAACAAGTCCCACCAGTTTGCTTCTGTTTTCCTGCTGTAGCCATGCTGGACTGGGAACTGCTCTGGCTATCAGGGCTGTCCCTAAAGCCATACAGAGGAACCCCCAAACGGATCTTTGCTTCATTTTCACGAGTGAAAAACACAAAGTGGCTCATGATTACAAACTCCCAAGTTCTCAGTTCTGTGTTAATGAGCCACTTTTTATTTTTAAAGGAAAAGGCAGTTTGCTAAGGAGCCAACACCTGTGGTTCTCACCCAGGACCTCTGCCCCTGTGTGGAGGGAGGCAGGGGATGAGGGAGGATCCCTCTGGAATGGCCTCAGGAGCACGTGCTGAGCTGAATGCCGTGAGTGCACTGTGCTGCTGGAGCTCCATCAAACACCTGCTCACAGCACCATTGGAAGGACAAATCTCTGAGGATCACCGAAACACTGCTCACCGCAGGGCTCTGCGCCTAACAACGGCAAACCAGCTCGGCTGTGCTTTGGAAATGCCACTCCAGCATCCCGTTCCATGGCCTCAGGAGCACGTGCTGAGCTGAATGCCGTGAGTGCACTGTGCTGCTGGAGCTCCATCAAACACCTGCTCACAGCACCATTGGAAGGACAAATCTCTGAGGATCACCGAAACACTGCTCACCGCAGGGCTCTGCGCCTAACAACGGCAAACCAGCTCGGCTGTGCTTTGGAAATGCCACTCCAGCATCCCGTTCCCCGTGGCGCACACACGCCGCGGACACCTCCCGGCGCAGCTGCTTCCCTCGGCCACAGCCAGGCTGAGCCAAAGCGGCTCCAGCACTGCCTCCTCCCACCGCCGCCAGCCCGGCGCTGGAACGCACCCCCCCGGCAGCTCCCGCAGCCAATCCTGCTGGAAACACTTGGGATGCACATGGCATTGCACTCAAACCGAGGAGCAGTGAGCTGGAGATGCTCTGCCAACCCTCGGGATGACTCCAGCCGGGATGAGGAACACCTGCACCAACAGCCAGAGGAGGAACTCCCTTTATTCATGCAAGTCCCAGCTGCCCAATTCCAGAGCACTCCCGAAGTTACACAGATCCCACAAAACCAAGACTCCCTGATGAACCCATTTGAGTTTAAACCTGAGGAAACCCAACCAAACTGCTGGGCAGGATCTCAGCAACAGGTACAAGCCAGGTCTGAAGGAAACAGGTTATAAATAACCACAGTTCCCAGCATTTTAGTAGCTGCAAAGAGCTTAACGTACTTTGAAGTGACAAGATGCAAACAGATAATGGTGGATGTGTTTTATTCCATGTTATCACTTGGTGTTGTCACACAGACAAACCCATCAGCACTGGGAACCCAGAGCCTGTAGGGCAGAGCTCATAATGAGGATTTTGGAGTAGAATGTGGAATGCTTTGGGTGAATCTCAGTGTGGGCTCCGTGGAGAACACACACACACTGTCAGGCACTTCAGCTTTGGTCTGATAGGATTCCAGGCAGCAGAGCCCCCACAGGAATGGTGTTTGAAAACTCCGTTACTAACTACCACACTAAATCTCCTCCTCCTCAGTAGGTGCCCTGCCAGATGCCAAACCAATCCTGGAAGAGGATCCAGGGCTTGGTGTCACCACACAGCCCAAATTTAGCCTTTGCTGAACTCAAACCCATTCCCTGCTCCCCCAGACTCCCAGGGTTTGCCTGAACAAAACACAAATGACATCAAACACAGGTGTGGTGTGTGCTGGGGGCATGTGGAAAACTCACCTCCACAGGCTCACTCTATCCCAAGGTTCTTACAGCAACTGCAGCTGTGACATACCCCAACACATTCCCCAGCACAGCATTTGAACTCAGGACATTTTAGTAGCCTAGAACTGGGTACTTTGTATGGAGAAGGAGCACAGTGCCCTGCACCAGTCAGAGCTTTCCAGCTGATTCCAGGACTGAGAACAGATTTCTGCAGTTTTATAAGTAAAACAGCACAAACCCAGTCTGGGGCATCTCTCCCTGTTTATGAGTACCCAGGGGAATTTCGACCCAGCCAGAAAGAGAGTAATGATATTTGTGCCTGAACTTCTTCTTGCCAATACAGAAACCATAATATCCTCATTCCTCAACCCGTATCAAACCCTGTGTGGCCACACTGGGATTACTGGCATAGATACCCTGCAGTTTAACTGGGTTTGAACCCTGTGGCTGTGCCTTTCCATGCCCAGAGAGATGTTTCCTGGCAC